TTTTAATATGCTGTGTATTTTGATCATAACTTTCCTTCAAAGGAGTAGGGGTCTTTTAATTTCATGGCTGCAATCACCATCTGCAGTGATTTTGGAGCCCCCAAAAAATAAAGTCTGCCACTGTTTCCACTGTTTCCCCATCTATTTGTCATGAAGTGATGGGACCAGATGCCATGATCTTAGTTTTCTGAATGTTGGGCTTTAATCCAGCTTTTTCACTCTCCTCTTTCACTTTCATCAAGAGGCTTTTCAGTTCCTCTTCACTCTCTGCCATAAGAGTGGTGTCATCTGCATATCTGAGGTTATTGATATTTCTCCCTGCAATCTTGATTCCAGCTTGTGCTTCTTCCAGTCCAGCATTTCTCATGATGTACTCTGCATATAAGTTAAATAAGCAGGGTGAAAATATACAGCCTTGATATACTCCTTTCCCAATTTGGAACCAGCCTGTTGTTCTGTTTCCAGTTCTAACTGTTGCTTCCTGACCTGCACACAGGTTTCTTAAGAAGCAGGTCAGGTGGTCTGGTATTCCCATCTCTTTCAGAATTTTCCACAGTTTATTGTGATCCACACAGTCAAAGGTTTAGCGTAGTCAATAAAGCAGAAATGGATGTTTTTCTGGAACTCTCTTGCTTTTTTGATGATCCAGCGGATGTTGGCAACTTGATCTCTGGTCCCTCTGCCTTTTCTGAAACCAGCTTGAACAACTGAAATTTCATGGTTCATGTACTGTTGACACCTGGCTTGGATAATTTTGAGCATTACTTTACTAGCATGTGAGATGAGTGCAATTGTGTGGTAGTTTGAGCATTCTTTGGCATTGCCTTTCTTTGGGACTGGAATGAAAACTGATTTTTTCCAGTCTTGTGGCCACTGCTGAGTTTTCCAAATTTACTGGCATATTGAGTGCAGCAGTTTCACAGCATCATCTTTTAGGACTTGAAATAGCTCAACTGGAATTCCATCAACTCCACTAGCTTTGTTCGTCGTGATGCTTCCTAAAGCCCACTTGTCTTCAAATTACAGGATGTCTGTCTCTAGGTAAGTGATCACACCATCGTGATTATATAGGTCGTGAAGATCTTTTTTGTATAGTTCTTCTGTGTATTCTTGCCACCTCTTCTTAATATCTTCTGCTTCTGTTAGGTCCATACCATTTCAGTCCTTTATTGAGCCAATCTTTGCATGAAATATTCCTTGGTATCTCTAATTTTCTTGAAGAGATCTCTAGTCTCTCCCATTCTATTGTTTTCCTCTATTTCCTTGCTATGATCGCTGAGGAAGGCTTTCTACCTCTTTGTTTTTCTTTGGAACTGCGCATTAAAATGGGTATATCTTTCTTTTTCTCCTTTTCCTTTTTCTTCTCTTCTTTTCTCAGCTGTTTGTAAGGTCTCCTCAGATAGCCATTTTGCTTTTTTGCATTTCTTTTTCTTGGGGATGGTCTTGATCCCTGTCTCCTGTACAATGTCATGAACCTCTGTCCATAGTTCATCAGACACTCTATCAGATCTAGTCCCTTGAATCTATTTCTCACTTCCACTGTATAATCATAAGGGATTTGATTTAGGAAATACCTGAGTGATCGAGTGGTTTTCCCTACTTTCTTCAATTTAAGTCTGAATTTAAGATGCTACACAGGGACATCACCAGATGGCCAATACCGAAATTAGATTGATTATATTCTTTGCAGTCAAAGATGGGGAAGCTCCATACAGTCTCCACTTTACATGTGGAGAAACTGGGCACTGGAGAATGAATAGGAGTGAGGGCAAGGCTATAGGCTGCTGGGCTGTGAAGCCTGACTCATCTCAGGCCACCGTAGCAAATGCCCTACCCCCAAGTTCACCAACTCCAGACATGAGTATTGTGCTGAACTGAATTCAGTTGCTAATGTTATCTGAAAATGTGGGGAGGCTGTTTATTTACGGAATTAAACCAGCCATGCAATCTAGGGACCTAAGAGCAAGCACATGGTGGTTTTCTTCTTATTCTAAAATTAGTTCTCAGCTTTTCTCTTTTAGGGATTCCTACAGTGTTTACAAATTATTGAGCCTTATGGTTTCCTAGGCCAGTAATAAATGGAACAGGAGGGAACAATAGAGATTAGAAATGTGTTGGGTGGATCAGGCCTGATAAATAGATAGCTGTATTTTTAATGAAGATGGCATGACTGGAAATCCTATTTACAGTTATCTAGTTTTCCTTTTTTTTAAATGGATAAAATAATAATAATATAGGGTTTATTTCCAAAACCACTTGGAGAAATAATATGCAATTTTAAGAAATATTATAGTTATTATAAATTGTTGGTTGCAAAACAAAAATAAAATGTCACCTCAAAAACCAAGATTTTTACCCAGTTGATGCAAAAAAAAAAAAAATCCTAATACATTTCTCTAATGTTCCTAGTTGAAAACAAAATCATTTTTAAAAGGACTGCCAATTCATTCAGAACTAAAAACTTGATTCATCTTACCACACGATTTGGTTTCACCCAGTCCACTTTTGAGAAGGATTAGATGACAGGTGTTCAGCCAGGACTTTCTGTACTACTTGTTTGATGATTAATGGGGTCTTGGCCCAAGATTGGAGTTTTAAAAAAGAAATAGGAGATGCTTTGTTGAATAGGCATGGAGCTTCATTGCCCCAGAATGTAGGTATCATTTCAGAAAGGGATCTCTCCCTGACAAAACACATTCATGAAAAGTAAAACTAAAAAAAAAAAAAAACTAAAAAAAAAAAAGAAAAGTAAAACTGTTCATGGAAACAAAATCTGAAAGCAGTAAGAGAAAGGGAAGTTGGGATGCCTACTCCTGAAATCCTAGTTACTACAGTGCCAGCTGGCAAGCCAGGGTGAAGTGGGATGTCTGGAGAAACAAAACAAAACAAAAGCATCAACTGCAAAAGACTAATCGTTTTAAGCATCAATTAACCATTTACTGGATGTGAAAGTTGTGCATATGTGTGTATATGGGGGGGTCCCTCTCTGGGGTGAGTGTGGGTCTGACACACACTTCATGGGGGCCCTGTGCTGGATCAGTGTGTGTATATGGGGGATCCCTGTCTGGGGTGAGTGTGGGTCTGACCCACTCTTCATGGGCCCCTCCATCGCTGTCTTCTCTGCACCTCACGGCAGGAGAAGGAAGGGAGTCTCCAGGTCAGGTTTCTTGCTGTTCTGTCAGTGTCCCTTCTGAGTCATGTCTCCAGACGGGCACCTTAGTTCCAGATCCCCCAACTCAGCGCTCACTTCTTGGTGCCTCTGAGAGGACCTGGCAGCAGCCAGGCTCAGGATCCAAGCTCTGTGCTCCCCTCTCCTGAACTCTCGAGGTCACTCGATGACCTAGGACCCAACGCCTCCCCTCAGACCCTGGCTGAGCCCCCACCGCTGTGCCCACCATGGGGGACGCAGTGCAGAGTCAGGACTAGTCTCCAGGGAGGTACCACAGCACAAGTAGGCCTGTGCCCACTGCCCCCACAGCCCCGGGCCTGGTCCCACATGTGGGGGCCCTGACAGGCATGGAGGTGGGGCCATTCCTGCCAGCTCCTGGATGAGAGACCCCCTTCTGGAGGGGGACTGTGCACCATGGGACTATCTGTGACATAGAGCTCTGAATCTCTCTGGAGAAATGCTCTTGTCTCCCCACTTTCCCCCGTGGATGAGCCCAAGGAGGAAAGCTGATGGTGTGTTCATTTTCTGCAGTCCCTTCCATGCATGCTGGGTGACGCATCCTGGCTGCTGGGGTCTCCCACTCCGGCCTCTGGAGGGAGTAAGACTGAGCGCAGGTGAGACCTGCTGTGACTCCTGAACAGTCCCTGGGCCTGTTGAGTCCTACCTGTACCCTGGGAGCCTCCTTGGGCCACACATGTAGGTAGAGGTCACGGACTGTGAGTCTGTCCTGAGTACCCAGTCCTGTGAAAGCTGATTGCTACAGTGGGGAAAAGTGAAGCTTCAGCTTCTGTTGCCTCTGGGAGCTTGGCCCTCTGTTGAGGGCCTCCAGGTGGCCTCCTTCAGACAGGTCTGGGGAACTAGAGTAGAGGGGAGACTCTGGAGTGATGCCAGCATGAGCCACCAGGCCCCTCACTTCTTTCCTCTGGCCCTGTGGATGGTGGTGGGACACCAATGCTCCTTGGTAAATGCACCATCTATGGGCTCCCCTGCCACTAACATCCTTCCTCTGCATCCCATCCCAGGGGCACAGCATCCAGCTCTCAGACCGTGAGGTGCCTCCACACACAGTCATGACCATGCTTATTCACTGGGGGAGGTGGGCACTGTAAGCATGGCTGTCCTCTCCTCCAGGGCTGGGTGGGACCAGCCCTCAGAGGCTTGCATGCTCTGCACTGCACACTCTCAGAGCTGAGTCTTCTCAGAGTGTGTGGTCCTCATTCTTGCTGCTGCTTCAGAGCAGGAGAAAGGCAGAGGGAGGTGACGAACCTCGCCTATCTTGTCCCAGCCACATCTAGGAGAGAAAGGGGATTTCAGGGCAGCAGCATCTACCCCGCTGTGACTTGGAGATGAGGCTTATCCCACCTCTGGACTCCCCTCCTTATTCTGACATGTGAGTTTGTCCCTGACACTTCTTGAGCCTGAGGGGAATTTCAGCTTCTGAACACACCTCCCCTACCAGGTGCACAACGTCCAGGTGGAGAAAGAGTAGGATAGAACTGAGCAAGATGCTGAGAAGGGGGAGGTCTTTAGGTTTAGTTCACTGTGACATGTCCTAAACGCTGTTGCTTGTTTCTGTAATGCTGGCATTATGGAAACTGAAGGTGCAGTTATGGAACCGGGGTGAGGGTGAGTATCCATGCTGGGGTCACCCTCCTTCCACGGCCCCATCCCGTCTGGAAGTCAAAGCAGGCACCTGGGAAGTGTGGACCCCGATGCCTTCCATCTCCCTCAGTGAGGCACCGACAGGTCACTACCCCTGCTCATGAGAAAAAAACATTTATTTCATGAAACAAAATTTCTGGTAAGAAGCCTTTAGCACACAGAGGATGTGCTAACATTGGAGAAAAATGTATTTATCTGCATGGCATGCATTTTTTTGTTGGAGGAGAGTTTTCCCACCTGGAATGCTGTGAAAAGCATGTTCGGATTCACCAGAAGAGGTATATTTCTGAGGGAGACCATGCCTTGGACAGTGGAGGGAATGGCCTGGGACCCATGTCACTTGTGAGCCATGCTGGCAGGCTCTGCCTGGAGGGGGACCTGGCTCCCTGGGTGAGAAGGCCCGCTTGCTGTCCCTGGGACTGGTCCACTTACTCTTTTTTGAAACGCTATGGCCTGTCGGGGTGACTTGGTGATAACGGGGTGTATCTCTCCTCATTCTCCTTTCGTCTTGGTAAGACAGGATTCTGTGGTGGCAGTAATGTGGACCTCTGGGGTCCTGGAATTCTGCCTGGTACAAGTTTAACTCCGTGGCGTGAGGGCCCTGGTGAAACACCATCCTCTCCTTTAGGATCTGCCCAACAGCTGTCATGAGAGTCTGAGCCTCAACAGCCCTGTTGTCCATGGTCGATTTGCTCTTGATTGATTCTTGGCTCTGGACAGTGGCTATTTCAGGCCTGCCTTTTTGGAAGGGCTCTTCTGGTTCTCTGCCTTTACTGGGGAAAATCCACTGCAGAAGGAGCTTGATCTTTTCTTTGAAGTGGCTTTCTGATGGAACCTGTCTCTTCTTTAGGACTAACTGCTGAAACTTGCTTCTTAGGGACTCTGTTGATTCTTTTTTCTGGCCAGGATGACTCATCCCTTGGGCTTGGTAAGCCCTCCGTTTTGCCAGCCCCTTTTTAATCTGTCTTAATTTGGGCCTTGTATATTTCTCTCTCCCATCCTTGGGAACAGACTCCTTGCAATGGCTCTTATATTTGAGCTGTCGCCTCATGTCCACCTGCTGCCCCTGGCTGCTCCCTTCACTTGAGGTAGCATCATAGAGTTTTTGGGAATTGCACTTGTCTCCACTGGATAAGATCTGAAAATTGGACAGAGATTCCTGAGAAGCCAAGATGTTTGCGGCAAGAAACATATTCGAGTGACAGTCCTTGAGAAGCACATCGGTGGCACAGTCTTGAAGGAGTACTCCAGTTTCACAGTCTTGAAGGAGCACGCTGGTAGCTCGGCCTTGAGCCTGAGCCTGCTGGTCAGTGAACCCTTGAGACTCAAGCTTACGAGACTGTGTCTCAAAGAGTAGATCTTCTGTATTTGAGGCAGCAGATTTGGTGTTCAGTAAGGGGCTTTCACTGGACCTTGGAGGCTGTGATCTCCCGAGATCTATATTGATGTCTAGGTATTTGACCTGCACACTAGGTTCCCTGGTGCCCTTCCCAGCAGAGTCTCCCTCCACGACCTCTTGAGCCTTGGAAGATGGAGAGCATTCATCAAGCTCCACAACTATCACATTAGAGCAAGATGCTGGGGAGGCCTGCCCCCTAGTTTCCTTCTGTGGCTCATTCCTGGCCATGACTGAACTTGGACTTGGCTCCAGGCTGCCTTTCTCAGCCTCCACAACAGACTTGCTATGCCACATTCTGCCCACAAAGCTGTATGTGGGGGCCTGAGGAGGTGGCTTGTCTTCCTGGCCAGTCAGAGGGGCCTCTGGGGGCTTATGGGTGTCCCCAGGTGCGCGTCCTCCCAGAGCCCCCTGGGCTTCCTCGGTCACCTGTGAGGGGACAGGGAGGGGCCTCTCCAGTGGGGGAACTGCCTCCATTGTTACCAGTTTCTCTCCTGCATGGGGCTGAGGAGGTTTCCCCAAGCCCTTGGTTAATAGGGCAGTTGAGTGGTATCCAGATTCACAGGTGACCTTCAATGTGGGCACTTGAACCTTTTTCAACTTCAAGCGAAATATCAACTTAAGGACTTTGAAGAGTAGGCTCCACCTGTGCCTCACTCGAAACCTTATTATATGTGTTTCCAGCTCCTGCTCAGTATACGGGCTGAGGACAAGAGACTCTTGGGAGGTGACCATGGAGGCTTTCCCATCCTGAGAGGACTGTGTACTTTCTGTCTTCATGGGAGCATTTGTCTCTCCCAGAGTGCCTAAAACAAGGTTGTCCACAAGCTTCAAGTGATAGACATTCACAGGGATCTCACTCTTACAGATCTGCTCTGCCTTCCTCTCTGTAAGGACTCCTGAGACTTCTGGTTGCTTCCTGTCTAGGCTCAACTCTATTTCTGATGCAGGTTTTGCTCTTGGATCCTTCACTGGAGGGTTGGCTGGGAACATGTATAGATCTTTTACGATCTTCCCCACACTCTGCCCTACATCATGGCACAGGTCTGTCCCTGGTAAGATTTGTGCTGGGCACTTGGACCTCATCTTTTGTGTATCCTGGCTCCTTTTGCCTCGACCTGCAGAGGATCTTGAGGGCCCCTCCCTGCCCTGTGCCTGACATGGCCTTGGGTATTGATCCTGGGGCTGCATCAGTTTCTGAGATGCTTGGATTCTGCGGGGCAGGCCACTTTGTTGCTGCATGAACCTTTGGGAAATGTGGTGCTCCAGTTTCTTTGGAACCTCAGGGCTGATCAAATACCCAGGAAGGATGGGGACAGAGCTGTGGGCCTGGGAAGACCTGGTCTCCTGGGATGGGTTGAGAGTGACCTGGCTGAAGACTTGCCGAGAATTTTTAACCAAAGAGGGTAAAGTTCTCCTGCTTTCTAGTTGTTCTTTCCAAAAGTGACATTCCAGGTTTTCAACTGCATTTGAACTGAAAGATGATGCCTTATTTGGGACTGTAGGGCAAGATGTTTCAAAGGACTTCTCAATACCAATCTGGCATTGAGAAGATGACTGGACGAGGGGGGAGGGTGATAAATGGACAGTGGTTTCTAACTGAGCCTGAGGTTGTGGATGATACTGGGGTATGGCTGGAGTTAAGTATTGAGGTTGGGCCTGGATCTCCATATGAGCCCGAGAAGATGGCTGACAGTAAGGTATATTTAGAGCCAAGGGTATCGGTTGGGCCTGGATCTCCATGTGAGCCTGAGGAGGTGGTTGGAACTGGGGCATTGTTGGAGTTGAGGGTTGTTGGTGGCCCTGGACCTCCATGGAAATCTCAGATGATGGTGGACACTGAGGCATGGTTGCAGTCCAGGGTAAGGATCGGCCCTGGGTCTCCACATGAGCCTGAACAAGTGGTTGAAACTGGGGCATGTTTGGAGTCCAAGGTAGGGATTGGTCCTGAATCTCCATGTGAGCTTGAGGTTGTGGTGATTGACACTGGGACATGGATGGAGTCTGGAGTAGGGGCGGAACCTGGGTCTTCATGTGAGTCCGAAGTGGTAGTTGAAAATGAGACATGGTTTGAGCCAAGAGTTGGGATCGGACCTGGGTCTCCATGTGAGCTCGAGGTGATGGTGGAAATTGGGGCGTGAGTGGAGTCCATGGTGGGGGGCGGGCCTGGGTCTCCATGTGAGTCTGAGGTGGTGGCTGAAAGTGAGGCATGGTTGGAACCAAGAGTTGGGGTCGGGCCTGGGCCTCCATGTGAGCCCGAGTTGGTGGTAGAGAGTAAGGCATGGTTGAAGCCACAATTTGGGAGCTAGACTGGGTCTCCAATGAAACTTCAGATGATGGTTGACATTGGAGCATGATTGGAGTTAAGGGTAGGGGTTGGGCCTGGGTCTCCATGTGACCCAGAGGTGGTGGCTGCAACTGGGGCATGGTGGGAGTCAAGGATTGAGGTTGAGCCTGGGCCACAGGTTGGGTCAAGTGCTTGGCCAATGACAGTTGTGAAGTTACTTTAGCTGGAATATGGAATGGTTTGGCTTTAGAGCGTTCATTAAATAAGACAGGGCATAACTCTAGAGTTGACCCAGGTACTGTGACAGCAGCTACGAGAGACTCACTGTGCAGAAAGGGGAGACCCCAGAAGAGCTGGCTGCATGTCTTCTGTAGACAGTCCCCCAAAGTGTCAGGATATTGGGGCTTCTCGGGACCAAGCAGCTGATCATGTTTCCCTTTTATGTTCCAGAAGTGTTGGTGACCCAAGGTGTCCTGTTTATGACCCAGTGACTCGATCCTCTTCCCCAAAGAATTCGGGTGGTAGCCTGCCTCCTCGTCCTTTTCTTTCTCCTTCCAAAACTTCAGTTCCACTCTCTTAGTGATTAGTATTTCCAGCAGTTCCTGGACATTAGGGTTGATAAAAGCAAGGCCACCAGCCTCTACCTGCCTATTTCTGGGATCTCCCCAGAATGAGGCCTCTGGTGGGTAGAGGGGAAGGCTTTCTTTCTGGGACTCTAAGTGTTTCGAGGTGGAGAAGCTCCAGGCTGTGGCTGCTTCCTGCCAGCAGGCCAGGGCTGATCCAGGGCTGCTTGAATGGACAAGCCCTGGGATGGTTGGTCTCCAGGGGGAGTGCGGAGATGACCTGTGTGGGATGGTACCCAGTGTGCATGTCGTGGAGTCACCCTGAGTGAGACTCAGCATGGAGCCTGATGGTGTTGGGGCAGAGCAGGGTGCTACAGGTGAAGGGCAGGTTCTCCCATGAGGCGGGCTTGTTGGGGAAGGGGAAACAGCCAGTGGCCAGGGTGAAAGGCTGTTCAGGGGAAAGAAAGGCTCTGGTGTTGGAGAGGCACTCAGGTATGACTCTGAGTAAGTGGAAACTGAACCTGAAGAAACGGCAGAAACACAGGGTAGAGGCTGCTTGGTCAGAGGAGCTGGGGAAATGGTGGGAGCCGCCTCTTCCCTGCATGGTGGGTGGGCTCCAGCAGGCACTGCTTTGCAAACCTCACCAGGTGAATCTTGACATGAGATCTGATGAAAGCTGCCCTTGTCAGGGAACCTCCCCAGGTGTCTGCAGGAGACATGAAGAACAAGCTGCAGCCAGGAGCTGCCAGGCCAGGAGGACCAGACAGGGCAGGCAGGGGCGGGCAGCCACACCCCACAGCCCTGCATGGCCCCAGCGCTGACTTCACAATGCTCCAGTTGTTCCTCACCACAGGATGATAGCCATACCCTGCCCTCAGGACTCCTCCCAGCTCAGCCCCAGGCTGCCAGAATCCCTGGGTTCACACCATAGGCTCTAGAAGAACCCCCTAGAAAGAAAGGGTAGATTCTCTACCTTTGCAGAAGTGAAGTCAGGTCCCAGACCTCTTCCAGTGTTTCCAGGCAATCTCTGCAAGCTGGAAATCAGCAGACTGGGTCATGGTGGTGAAGATAGGAGCCAGGGGTCTTATAGAAGTTGAGTGCACTGTCTCTTTAAGGGGACACCGCTGGGAGACTGGAGCCCAAGCTCCAGTGTCCAACACCACATGATCCCTGACAGTGACGGTGACGCTCAAGAAAGGGTTTATCACTTAACGTTTTTCCATATCCTTTACTCCTTACTGCCCTCACCACCTACCTGAAGGCAATGGGCAGGCATCACTTTGCAGTTGAACCTGAGCACAGTTAAACCATGTGTCCTATGTGTCCTGGAGGGCTCACTTCCCAATCCAGGTGCTATTAGTCCAATGCAGCCCACACGCCCTTTTGGTACAGAGTCTTTTCCAGGCCCCTCACAGCTAATTCTACACATGGAATCTGGGAAGTGTCTGGATTCTGCCCTCCTTCCCAGAAGCCTCTCTGGCGGCCCTGCTCCTCAAGGGAGAAGTCCTGCCACTGGCCCCCTCAAAGCCCGTGGTGCTGGGCCTCATGGCCAGAGTGGTGGGGACTAGCACTCGGGGCACTCATGGCTGGATGTCAGAACTCACCTCTCAAAGCGCCATTTCTCTTGCTGCTCCTGCTTCTTCCCCTTCGTTCCTTTCGATGCTGAGAGAGAAAAAATTAGGGCATAAGACCCAATTCTCAGTCTCCTCTCTCTCTAGACAAGCATCAGGCACTAGTGTCCATACATAATATGACTTTCTACAATTCACTGATAGAGCTCTGTGATTTTTCTTTCACTCATTTTTAAAGTGGATAAAATATTTTCTGTTTTCCTTCTTTGAAGAACGAAAGACTATTTTCAATGTGAAATGCACTCTGTAATACTTTCGTCACTGTTCCTCTGCTCCAGAAACACACACATTCTCAGACTGTGGGCGAATCTGAGCTTCATCAGGTTTATCTCTGCTTCCTGATGCCAGCACCACCACCACCACCCCCCACCCCCAGCCATTGCTCTGAGGCTCTTGGTGCTTCAGTGCTGCCAGACCATCAGCCCTGAGACACTGTTCACAGCTGCTGAACTAGGGCTCAGAGTCCTGTCCTCAGCCTGAGACTGAGATCAATATCCAGTCCTCAGCCCCTGGTCGCTGTGTTTGGGACATACCCTGGACCCCTACCACACCAGGACAACTAATCTGAGATCTTTGCGTAGAAATCCTAGTGTTCACTCTATCTCCTGCCCAGCCTGGTTTGTCCCTAGAGGCATGATATTCTTTTCTTCCTTGAAAATAGATGTCCTGTTCTTTCCCACCTCAAGAATCTCTAGTTGATTCAGAAACGTAGAAATAATAATAATAAAGATTTTATATGCTTGTCAGTCTGGACCAAGAGTTCCTTACCTTCCTGATGTTTCCATGTTTCCTAGGGGGAGCAAAGGATGGGTTATTCTCCAGGTAGGGAAGGATCAGGAAAAAGAGCCCCAGTCCACATAGAAAGGCAAGGATGGCATCGATCGCCCAGAAAGGGGAGCTGGAGTTCAGCCAAGTATCAAAAGTGCTTTTCAGAGAAAAGAGCAGATTCTCTATCATCTGAATCACACCGCTGCCCTCAGGCAACTGAGCCAAGGGGTGCACTTGGGGACTAAACTACTAGGCTCACATCATAGAGATGTGGTCTGGTCACAAAGGGCCCTTGGGGGTAAGAGGGATTAGCAGAGGAGGAGGCTGGACTATAGCCCCTCCCTAACCATCCAGCCACACAGCTTCATTCATCTCCCTTCCTCTGAGCCTTCCCATCCTACCTTCTCATCCTGGTAGAGACATTAGTCAAGTGTTGCTTCTTTCCACCTAGAACTCAGAGAATTCCTGGTTCCTTTGATATCATTGCTTGAGTCCCATCAATACTTTAAAAATTCTGGAGTTCTCCCTATAACTTTGGATAATCCCAAGTATTTTTACTTTTATGATATATATATATATAAATTTCAGTTAATTTTTACTATGTTCAACTACTGGGAATTAAAAATTAGTTAAAATTATTTGAAATTTACAAGGCTATGAAATATAAAACAAATCGAAATAAACCTTCAGAGTAAGTTTTTCATAATTTGCCAGCATCCTTGTTTTCTGAACTCAATACACTGAACAAAAAGTTTTGGAACACTCTGTACAGATACACACACATCCTTTTAACAAATCAGCCCAGTGTTTTCAAATCTAAGAACCAAGTTTTTTTTTTTTTTTTTCCAGTTCAAACGTTATCTTTCAGTATTTGTTATAAATCGGACTGCTAGCAGTCAATTCTCCCAGTCTCTGTTTATCTGGGAACATTGTTACTTTGCCTTCTTCCCTGAAGCATAGATTTTATAGACACGGAATCCTTGGGTGACAATTTTTTTCTTTCAAATCTTTTAATATGGCATCCCACAGCCTTCACTCTGCCATTTCTGACTGGAAGTCGGGGATTAATCTTATTGTCATCTCCTCACATATGGAGAGGAGAAGGAAATTTCAACCCACTCCAGTATGCTTGCCTAGAGAATCCCATGGACAGAGGAGCCTGGTGGGCTGCTGTTCATGGGGTCGCACAGAGTCGGACACGACTGAAGCGACTTAGCATGCATGTATGCATTGGAGAAGGAAATGGCAATCCACTCCAGTGTTCTTGCCTGGAGAGTCCCAAGGACAGAGGAGCCTGGAAAGGCTGCCATCTATGGGGTCACACAGAGTCAGACACGACTGAAGTGACACAGCAGCAGCAGCAGCAGCATATCTGGAGAACAGTTTTTCTCTGGCTACTTTCAAGATTTTTCCTTTGTTTTCCGACAGTTTGACCAAGATGTGTCTTAGAGTGGATCTGTTTCCTGTCATTTTTCTAGAGGTGAACTCTGAATCTGGAGAGTGTTTTTCATGAAAATGTTATAAACTTTCAGCCATTATGTCTACAAGTAATTTTATGCTGTCCCCTTTCATCTCCCTTCTTTCCGAGAGTCTCTTTCCTTCCATATTTGATGGTGTGCTGAGTGGATGCTGTAGATCGTTTTCCCTCAACATCTTCTCTCTTTGTTTCTACACTGATTCCCTGAATTCATCTTTCAGTTTGTGGATTCTTTCTGCTACCATCTCAAGTGTGCTATTGAATCTGTCTATTTTTCAATTTAATAACTATAGTTTTCAAGTCTAGGATTTATATTAGTTTCCTTTTTAAAAGCAATTCCTAGCTACTCATTGAGTGTCTCTTTTGACTTAGTATCATATGTTAATCTAATTCTTCAGCATGGCTCCTTTAGTCCATCTTGCAGTTATCATTATGTTGATATTTTAATGTTTTGACCTTCATACTGATTTTAACTTTGTACTTATCTGTCCCAGCGAGTTTTATACTTTGAAATAGTTTCCTTTTCCTAATTAGCATCTTTTCATTTCAGCTTGTAGAACTCCTTTTAACATTTCCTATTAGATTGATCTAATGGTGATGAAAGTAGGGAAAACCACTAGACCATTCAGGTATGACCTAAATCAAATCCTTTATGAGTGTACAGTGGAAGTGAGAAATAGATTTAAGGGACTAGATCTGATAGACAGTGTGCCTGATGAATTATGGACAGAGGTTCGTGACATTGTACAGGAGACAGGGATCAAGACCATCCCCATGGAAAAGAAATGAAAAAAGGCAAAATGGTTGTCTGACAAGGCCTTAAAATAGCTGTGAAATGAAGAGAAGTGAAAAGCAAAGGAGAAAAGGAAAGATATTCCCATTTGAATTCAGAGTTCCAAAGAATGGCAAGGAGAAATAAGAAAGCCTTCCTCAGTGATCAATCCAAAGAAATACAGGAAAACAACATAATGGGAAAGACTAGAGATCTCTTCAAGAAAATTAGAGATACCAAGGGAACATTTCATGCAAAGATGGGTTTGATAAAGGTCAGAAATGTTATGGACCTAACAGAAGCAGAAGATATTAATAAGAGGTAGCAAGAATACACAGAAGAACTGTACAAAAAAGATCTTCATGACCCAGATAATCATGATGGTGTGACCAGTCAACTAGACCCAGACATCCTGGAATGTGAAGCCAAGTGGGACTTAGAAAGCATCACTATGAACAAAACTAGTGGAGATGGTGGAATTCCAGTTGAGCTATTGCAAGTCCTAAAAGATGATGCTGTCAAAGTGCTGCACGCAGTATGCCAGCAAATTTGGAAAACTCAGCACTGGCCATAGGACTGGAAAAGGTCAGCTTTCATTCCAATACCAAAGAAAGGAAATCCCAAATAATGCTCAAACTACCACACAATTGCACTCATCTCACATGCTAGTAAAGTAACACTCAAAATCCTCCAAGCCAGGCTTCAGCAATACGTGAACCATGAAATTCCAGATGTTCAAGCTGGTTTTAGAAAAGGCAGAGGAATGAGAGATCAAATTGGCAACACCGCTGGATCATCAAAAAAGCAAGAGAGTTCCAGAAAAACATCTATTTCTGCTTTACTGACTATTTTAAAGCCTTTGACTGTGTGGATCACAATAAACTGTGGAAAATTCTGAAAGACATGGGAATACCAGACCACCTGACCTGCCTCTTGAGAAACCTGTATGCAGGTCAGGAAGCAACAGTTAGAACTGGACATGGAGCAACAGACTGGTTCCAAATAGGCAAAGGAGTACGTCAAGGCTGTATATTTTCACCCTGCTTATCTAACTTATATGCAGAGTACATCATGAGAAATGCTGGGCTGGAGGAAGCACAAGCTGGAATCAAGATTGCTAGGAGAAATATCAATAACCTCAGAAATGCAGATGACCCTTATGGCAGAGGGTGAGGAAGAACTAAAAAGCCTCTTGATGAAAGTGAATGAGGAGAGTGTAAAAGTTGGGTTAAATCTCAACATTCAGAAAACTAAGATCATGGCATCTGGTCCCATCACTTCATGGGAAATAGATGGAGAAACTGTGGAAACAGTGTCAGACTTTATTTTTTGGGCTCCAAAATCACTGCAGATGGTGACGGCAGCCATGAAATTAAAAGACGCTTACTCCTTGGAAGGAAAGTTATGACCAACCTAGATGGCATATTAAAGAGCAGAGGCATTACTTTGCCAACAAAGATCTGTCTAGTCACGGCTATGGTTTTTCCAGTGGTCATGTGTGGATGTGAGAGTTGGACTGTGAAGAAAGCTGAGCACCGAAAAATTGATGCTTTTGAACTGTGATGTTGGAGAAGACTCGAGAGCCCCTTGGACTGCAAGGAGATCCAACCAGTCCATCCTAAAGCTCAGTCCTGGGTGTTCATTGAAAGGACTGATGCTGAAGATGAACCTCCAATACTTTGGCCACCTCATACGAAGAGCTGACTCATTGAAAAAGACCCTGATGCTGGGAGGGACTGGGGGCAGGAGGAGAAGGCGACAGCAGAGGATGAGATGCCTGGATATCATCACTGACTCGATGGACATGAGTTTGAGTAAACTCCGGGAGTTGGTGATGGACAGGGAGGCCTGGCGTGCTGCGATTCATGGGGTTGCAAAGAGTTGGACACGACTGAGAGACTGAACTGCACTGAACTGAAGAACCCTCCAGCCTAAAGCAAGGAGGCACCAAACACAGCAAACTAAATAAAATGAAAAGATGAGAAATATACAGGAGGTGAAGGACATATTAAAAACTCGCTAGACCAAACAAACGAAGAGGAGACAGGGAGTCTATCAGAGAATTGAGAACACTGATAGTAAAGATCATACAAAATCTTGAAACAAAATGAAGGCAGGGGTAAAAGCAAATCACTACTAAAATGTCATCAAACAACAATGAAAGAAAGCTAGAGAGGAAGAGGACAACACCTGCAAAGTATACAGAAGACGATTAACTAAACAGTAACAGTAATCCCTACTGATCGATAAATAAGATAAATGGATTAAACAGTGGTTGAACGGTTTAAAAAAGAAAAAAATTAAAAAAGACCCAACTTGAAGTTATCTACAAGAAACTCATTTTAGACTTTAAGACACATATAGGCTCAAAATGAAGGGATGAAAAAAGATACTCCATGCATGTAAATAGTAAGCAAAAGAAAGCAGGGGTGGCTACTCATATAAAAGAGAAAATAGATATTAAGTCCAAAATTCTCTCCATAGAAAAAGAACATTTCTGTATTTTAATAAAAGAGTCACTTCAACAGGAAGATATAAAAATTATATATGCATACAGCATCAGAGCCCATAAAAGGTATAAAGCAAAAACTGGAATAAAAGAAAAAAATGATTGCATAAAATGGCCATAAGGAACTTCAATTATCCACTCAAAGAAATGGATAGAAAATCAATAAATAAACATGCCTTGAAAACACTATAGATCACATGCTCCTTACAGACATATTTAAACATACCACCAAACAGCAGCACATAAACATTCAAATACACAAGCAACATTCTCCAGGATGCTTAGTAGGCCACAGTCAAGTTTTAACAAATTTAAATAATTTGTTTTTGAAATTACTATTTCAAAATAATTATTAATTAATTAATAATTAACAAATTTGAAATAATTTAGGTATCTTTTCTGACCACAGTAAGACGAAATAAATTCCTTAA